AGAGAGTGAGATAGATAGAGAGATAGAGAGAGAGCTGTCTGAGAATAGCTAGTCTGCATTTTTTTCTTTCTCAGGTATGAGGATATGATCAAAGAGATTCAGGAGCTTTAGATTTCTCAAAGCAAACCCTGAGAGATGCCCGCAGGCTGCGGCAACAACTTTAGTATCCTCTTCATCTGCTCATGTTGAAGACTTATCAAACCAACAAGACTAACAAGCAGTATTTTTTTTTTTTTTTTGTTCTGTGATTCTGTCTTCTGGCTGTGGCTGAGGTACTAAATAACTAATGAATCTGTACTGTAGTGTGACATATTGAAGCTGCAAGTGACCTGTTTCACAGTTTGGATAACATGCACTCCTGATCTCAATCTGAAAAACTTGGACAGAATTTTGAAGAATTTGATATTTATCATAAAAAGGTTATAAGTGGTGCTCAAAAGAAGAGCAACAAGTTAACCATAAAACTTGTAAAGAAATGCATTTGGACTCAAACAGCTGATCAAAGTCTTAAGGCTGTTAGCCTTAAAATTCAGAGCATAAATCTGGCTTTCATTACGTTTTCTGCCAGGCATTCACAATCATAAGCCCCAGAGGGCAAGAGTGGCGCTCTGCCTTTGAACAGGAGTGCTGAGCTGCACATCCAGCACATCCAGCTACACGCTATCACTGCAGAGGTTGGACGCAGGGAGGCAGTCGTTTTAAATCTCTTAAAATATCACAAGATTCATGGGACAAATAATTCAAGTGGTAGACTCAAAGCATTCATTCACCTGCACAGTTCCGGGGGATCTGGTGGGCTTTCATGAATGCTCTGGAAGATACTCAGCCTAAATTAGGGCTCTAACTCTGCTTACTGCAGATTCAGTGCCTGTAAGAGAAGAGTTGAATGAACCGAGGCCACATTTCCTTCAACACTAAAAACATTACCCTATTTAATGTTTGGGGATGGATGGAGAGAGAAGTTTGGAAAAACAGTCATAAGATCCAGAACATGGATTCGCCTCGTTAAAGATGCTCCCTCCAACAAGTGGAGGGATTTCCTACAGGTCTGTAGGGAGATTTCCATAAAGCATTATGAAACTCATTTTAAACAGGAACAATGGTTCTTTTCATATGTTCATTTTTGGTTTTATTAGCTAAAATGTTAAACTTTAAACTGTGCCAGTTAACATGTTTTCAGTAAAATATCTTCTGCTGTTGATTTGTCTCTTGCTCTTCTTTGACCGTTGTGCATTTTGAAGCTCCACTTAAAGATGGACTCTTTTAAAGGTTTGATAGAGTGTATTTATTTTAGTGAAATTCAGCAGATGCCTATTGGTTCTTTGTGAACAACTGTGGTTTTAATTTCTTTGTATGGTACAGTTATGTAAAATTTTCATGAAGTGAGGCTCGGTGGAACAATAAAGGGATGTAGACAGATGAATCTGATGAGATATTTTGAAGTCAGTGGAAAAGGCCAATACTTAAACTCAAACCAAATGGACTTTTTGAAGACATTTTATGTGTTTCAGGTAGCAAGTGACTATATTAGTGACCGAGAACTGCTCTGTCAATGTGGTTGATAAGTAAAATTCAATTAACCCGTAATTAGAAGTGAAGTAAACATTTGGATGAACTGTGCTTAAAACTCAAGAAAAAGTCTGGGTGTTTTCTGTTTAAGCTCTGAGCATTGTAGTCTCCTGGAGGATTGAGAGGCTTTTCCACGGTTATAGACAGTCGACCATGAGGGTCCTTACTGGAAAGTAAACAGTGTCTGTAATCAGTACTGTAAGATTAAAGGTGATGCTGATTTAAAGGACTGAAACAAGCTTCTGCATTAGCCACGATGGAACGTTTTGGTTTGCAGTCATTTCTAGATGACAGAAACTTTTGGTCTCACCAAGTTTGATCTCAGCAGGCAATCTGAACTCTGTTTCTTCATCTAAAACTGATGAAAAGTTTGTGATGATGTTGTGCGTTTGAGAAGGCGGTTTATAATAAGGCATGTGATTTCAATCAGCTAAATCTGTCAGCTTTCCAGGCCTGAACCTGATGACGACTGGTTTGGCTTCAGATCCCCGTTGGCCTTGCAGCAGCTGCTTGCAAATCTTGGCCTCTCAAAATATGATACCCAAAAAAAATAAATATGAGGTATGACAGGGTTTATGGGCTGCATAAGCTCTTGTGAATTCTAGTTCTAACTTAGTAGTTTTAACTACTTCAGCATTGTACGGTGAAAATTTTGAGTTCGGGGCAAATCTCTAGCTTTTAGAGACTTTCTCAGTTACATCTCTATTGTCAACACAAAAAAGATTACAAACACCAGCTTCACAGAGTCTACAGAGGCAAATGCAAGATTTGCTTGTCAGGAGTGGCGGTGAGGTCAATGGAAGTTCTCTGACTGCGCTACAAGACAACATTGGGTCAAAGGTTAAGAGTAATCAGACATTATGTGTAGAGAGAAATGGGTGGAGGGGTTGGGAGTTGATCAGAGCGGGTCTGAAATACTTTAGTTCTGTGTGTTTCCCCAGCCATATTTTCCTTTATGTTAAACTGGATTAGTTTTCCTGCATGCATCCTTTATCAAGATAATACTTGAGGCTTGTTGGGATTTTACTGTGTAAATCTGTGTAGTTCTCACTAATCTTGTTAGTGTGTGTGTGTGTGTTGAAAGGGTCCAGGAGACTTGGTATGTATGCTAGTTCCCAGAAAAACAGCATGTGTCACAGATCAAAAGGATCTGGATGGTTATGAGTCTTATTTGTGTTAAATTTCTGTTTGCCTTGTGATATTATACAGTAGAGGTGATTTATTGAGACCTGTCTGTCATCAAAGCTGCACTGCAGCAGTCTTCAGGGGATATGACACTCTCTGATTTTATCAAGGACATTTTTTTTCTGATGTGATTTTTACAACAGACTTACTATCTGCAGCAATCAAGCAAAACTTTTCCTTTTCTTTTTTATTGAGAATATATGAAGCTTAAACACACAGTCAGAGCTCTACAATTAATTTAAATACCAAGAAGAGAACTGCTCACGTTTTAAATTCTTTGTCATAATTTATAGAAGGCTTTGATGTTGGACTCAGTGCCTTTACAGCATCAACACCTTGGTTGAAATGTAAATGCATTTCAGATACGATTGAAAATTATGTTTATAGCAGATATTTCACTGCACTAGTTTTTGCATGAAAACATGAGATTAGCTTGACTGAATCAGATAATGAATGCATGAACTCACCAAAGAGTAAAGCATTGCATGTGTTCCAGCAATATATAAAGCTGAAACCATATGTTTACATACACCAAAAAAAAAAAAAAAAATGACACATCCAACATTTTTTTTTGATTGATTGAAGTTTTTTTGCTGGAGTTCTGACCCGCTCCACCAGACATAACTCTGTCCAGTTTGTATGCCACCTTGCTGCCCGTCTTCCTCCTGAGTAGTGTGCTGGTTAGACATTCCCATCAGGTCTGTATTTGCATATAATTGAACAGATGAACGTGGCGCCTTCAGGCAGCGGTAAATTGTTCCCTGGATGAACCAGACTGCAGCAGCTCTACGATTCTCTTCCTGATATTTTGGACATCTTCTGTTGACTCTTCCATCAGAAAGCAGTGAGTTCCAGGTGAGGCCTTAAAATCCATCTACAGGTTAGCATATTATTAACTTCCATGGATCAGTTAACCTATCAGAAGTTTCCAAAGCCATGACATCATCATCTAATATTCCCCTGATTATTTAAAGAGACAGTAATGCTCCTGTATGTAAAACTCTAATTTTAAAGACATTAATAAATTAATTTATTCAAAATTTAAATGAATTGTTATATGCTAAATACACATTTGTGTGGTTCTCAGTAATATAAATAGTTTTGCTAATTCTAGCAGACATAACAACGAGAAGTTTGGTCTGATATAACTTCAGACTGACAGAGGAAAAAAGGTGTGTGTTGTGTGTGGGTGCGCGTGTCTGTGTTTGTCTTTTAATTTCATAAACGTCTAGTTTCAACAATAGTTCTGCACATACCCCGATACTGTGTTGCCATTTGAGGTTGTTTCAATCTTAGATTGTCTTTTTTTTGTTTTGTTTTTTTTTTAAAGTTGGAAATTGAAATTGGAAAGGAAGCCTTTGGCAAGATTGTGACACAAAGGGAGTCAGAAATTATTTTTTTAAAATGTAGCATGGAAAGAACTGGAGGAATATATTTGTGTGAGTTGGTGGTCTAAGTGGTTTGCTTCACCTTCAGTAAATACTGTGACTTCTCCTTTTTTCACCTTTTGCACACATGGTACACAGGAAATTTGTTAGAGGATTCAAGATATTGTTACTTAATATTATTTTTATTAGATTATATTTTTTTATTATTTTTCAGTTTTTCTCTTCATTTGCATTTTGTTATAATAGGTGGCAATGTTTCATGTTTCATGATGTTTTTATTTGTTTTTTTTTTAAGTTAAGGGTTACATATTTTAAAATGAGGAAGTTGATAAATGCAACTGGAGTACCGATGCTATAATTAGCCAGGACTTAAAACTGGCTACAGAAAGATTTGATTTGATGCCTGAAACATGAACAAGTCTAAGAGTTAGTAAATTAGCCAGTGGCTGAGTTCCCTCAACACAACCACGTTTAGGCAAATTAAAGGAAAAAACATGCAAAAATGTGGCAACAGCTAGCTGAGGGGTTAATAGGTTCTATATCTGTTGGTGGGATGCAACATAGAGAAACAAAGAAAATGTAAAGGAAACAGCAAATCCAAGCAGAGAATTTATGTTACGGTATTAATATCAATAAATGGTGGGACACATGTAAACTTCAAGACATCAAGCTGAAAAGGACAAAACACATTCAGCCCAAAAAGAGTTTACGAGTAAAGAGCAAAAAGAAAATGTCCATTACTTTCAAAAAAAGGACAAGAAATGTAAGAAAATCAAAGAAGATAAAAATTGGAAGAGAAAGGGTAAGTCTGGTTTCCCTTGTCATGCAAATCAGATTGGCATTTGGGGGAAAAAATACCTTCATCATCCGTGCGGTCACTATCACTTAAATCATCAGTGTGTTTCTTTGTAAGGGGACCTATAGGACCAAGAAGGAGAAAATGGAGGAAAACAAGGTCATCAAGAACACACACAGCCTTTAAAAGATGCGCTCAAAAGATAAGAAAAGTTCTCAGTGAATATAGTCTTTTATCACTTCTTTAAAGAAAAATTCTCACTCCGACTGCAGAAACGTCACCTCATTGTCAGTTTCACATGTTTATAGTCGGAATTTGGTGCAGAAAAGTTTGCTTTAAGATAGTTACAGAGCAAAAAAAGAGGGAATTTAAAAAAGAAGCAAAAAAAAATTGTTCTTTGATAAAAATGAAGAATTAACTGACGATGAACCCATGGGATCAAAAGACATTAGGCACTGTGAAACAGTGCATATATTAGCATATATTCGACACTTCTGAGGTATTATTGTAACAATTGAAAATGATCTGCATAGCTGCGAAAGAAACACACAGTAAAAGAAGCAGTATTTTTAAGAGCATAACACGCTACAGAAGCATATGACCAGCTCCACCTGTTGTACATTCAGAGTTCATCTTGTGTTAAATAATACACAAGCATACACTGTAAACAATAAAAAAATCAATTAAAAGCAATTTCTTGTTCACATTAACTTTCAATTTGATAGTTTTTTTTTCTATTTCTACATTATATGGTGATTAATAGATTAGATAAATAACCCATGTAGGAAAATTTTATAATATGTGGCCTGTTAGATCTTTGATATAATTGAAAAAAATCCAAAATAACAAAGGAAAGAAAACATAAATAAAAAGTGAATTTACTTTTTGGTGATGAAAGCAAGCTGGTTGCTCAGATGTCTGGAATCCATGTCATATTACGTGTCCCAAGATTGTTTGGTTAGCTTAGCTTGGCTTAGCTAGTTTAGTACAAAAACTGGAAAATGCATTCTGCCACAACAGGCTCTTTGAGGACACTCATGATCTTGATGTGACCCAAAAGGAGAATGATTTGACACTTCTGTACTAATAGCAGGATTCATTTGTATTTTTTTCCATGTGCTATCTTTGGCAGGTCAGACTTGTCCCTGACATGTCAGGGAAGATTAGCTATATAAAAATTAGAATACATCCCAAATGAGTGATTGAATCCAGACTGCATCCAGCATCAAAGTAGGCGAGCCACACAAATCTAATAATAATCTGTTTGTGCATGACTTTCAAAAATTTGGATTATATGTGTCTCAAAACTATATTCATGTTTGTCTAAGTATTGCCCTGAAATTGTTGAACATGATTCCTAATTTCTAACCAAATGTTTTACGCATTAATGCAGAGGCAGTAACGCTGTGTCTATGGAACATTATATAAAATGCAGCTTATTATTTATTTGTGAAAGAAACTGACGGTAATTCTACAGCAATGAGAGTAAAACTGAAACACATGGACCTCTATAGTATTCACTCTGGATGAGATGCTCGTTATGTTGTGATTATGAAATGGGTTTCTTCCCTCGCTATGTACTTTTAATTTTTTGAAAATCTTAGCAAAATACATTTTAATTTGACCTTCTAACAGAGATGTAAGTTCTCTCTTGAAGTCAGCTCGCCTTATACATCAAGAACTCAGCATGGACAACGGATTATTGCTGTACTTTATTATGATTACTTTCTTTTCGTTGTGCTCTACCACTGAATCTCAGGCAGGGGGAGAGGTCAGTTGCTTCTTTAACCACCCAACATGTTATCACTTTAAGTTTTTTTTATTCACACATTATCATAAACATGTTCATCCCTCAGAAACATACACAGACACACAAACACAGTACAAACATACCAACATGCTCACATGTAAAGTTTAGGACATCAAAAACATGCTGAAGTAAGATTGCAAGATGTGTGGCATGCAGAAAACAATTTGATCTTTATGCAACATGAACTCAGAGCATGTGATGCCACCAGGCCTTGAACTGCCTTAACCAGGAAACTTCTATGCTTATCTGACCAACTATTGTACAATTACCAGCCAGCACTGCAACCCATATCCTCTGCAATAGTCTGACTTTATAGCCACACAGTCTGTATTAAAGTAAATGTAAACAAAATCTCACATAAAAAGAGTACAAAGGTAAACTCAGTGGGGTATTAATAACTTACAAGATTTACAACAGCATCAGTAGTTCATGAGCCAGACCTTCTCAGCTATGCGAGTGCTTCTTTCTAATAACTTTAAGTGGAAGAAGTTTCCCTGCATATAATTATGTCCCACAGCATTCTCTCAGCTTGCCTTTGTGAATCTGACAAGTGATTTGATAAGCAAAATCTGAGTGTGCTTCCTGGAAGTGCTGAATGAGCACTAGACAAAAAAGTCACTTATTTGAAAATGTGGAGCGCCGAAGAACGGCTCGACTGCTGCCTGGGGATGTGTGACCTGTTCTAAAAACAGAACTTCATTGATGCTGTGGGTCATTTATGGTGACCTTTTAGCATTACGCTGAGTGATAATATGATATTATGGAGAACAAAATCAGATATTTTGTCTTCGCTGGTCAGTAATCTGGATTAAAGCCGGTTAATGCTGTTCTTTCTCTGATTAAACTCTTGACATGTTTCCTGGCTCCCTTCAGTCCTCTGATCATCACAGAGTTCCTGGGAGAAAAACAGCACCACCCATTTCTCTATTCTTCTTCAGGTCTTTTTACCATCAGGGGATGATCATAAAAATGTCTTTCCCCATGATGTAATTTACAATGTCCCCAAAGAGTAATGCCCTTTTTTCTTTAGGTCCAGAGTATTGCAAAGAAATAAAATGGGACAAACAGAAATAAAAGACAATCTCCCAAACAATCTATTTTAAAGTCGAGATTTAATCTGCTCTGTGACAAAAAGACCCAGCCACAGTTGGAGCAAACACCTTCAGTGCTGCTTATATCAAAAACTCACAAGTGCCTCATTCAAGGTCCATATGACACTATCAGCCCACTCCAGGCTTTACTAGTTGTTTTTGATACAGACAACATGGCTCCCACTCCCACATCAGCTTTGTCTTCTAAGGCTGAAGTTGATCTCTGATTAATTGTTCTGATATACAGTCATGCAGTAGCCTGAAGGTGGAGGACACCAACAGCTGAAAAAACTGATCTGGAAGGCCAGCAACGTCGTTGGAATGGAGCTGGACTCGCTGACGTTGGTGTCAGAGTCAAGGATCCTGCACAAGATGCAGGTCGTCTTTCACAATGAGTCTCATCCACTTTATGACATACTGGATGGACACAGGAGGACCTCGGTTCACTGCACCAAAGTGAACCACAGAGCAACACAGAAAACCATTTATGTCTGTAGACAACAATTTACAATACCCAACTTTGAGTAACTTAAATCTAATTTTCTCTGCACTCATTTTATATTAAAGTATTTGCATGTGAATGCTTGTTATTTATTTATTCTTTATTTATGGAACTAGTTTTAGGTACATATATATTTTTAAAACTATCTCTTATGGTTATATTTGTATCATTAATAATTAACACCTTAGATGGAGTAGCTTGTCAAGATAAGCAAATTCCGTTTGGGATCAATAAAGTACATTCTATTCTATTCAGGAAGATGATTAAAAAGTTTATTCCATTAAATCAACTAGTGAGTTGATTTAATGGAATAAGCTTTTTAATCATAAAGGACATTATATTGATTATTACATGTTGACTGATGTTCTCAGGCTTATATTTATCTAAATTGTGATTATTATTTTTTTGCCTACAGCCAATATTAAAATAAAACATTTAAGATTATAGTATTACACTAGACCAATATAAAATAAAATAAAAAATACAGAACTGTGGGCTTAATGAAAAGCGTATTTAATACCTGATTATATGTTATTCTCAAAATATACACCTGAAAGACGACCATGAGCCTTAACAGAACACATAAATCTTTTATTGTTGTTATTGTTGTGAATCATGTCACTGTTTTATGTGTATGCGGACCAGGAGTCCGCTGAATAAAGCAATCAATTAAAACATATTCCAATTTAATGACCATGACTGTATTTACTGCATATAACGACAAAGGTTTTACTTCCTTTTCCTGTTCCTGAAATATGTACTTACCGCAATTTCAAGAATATAACTCGAGAATGACCTTAAGTATGCTTTTAACTGTAGTTGGGCGGAAATACAAAATTATATGTTGTAGTCCACCTCAGTTCAAAGAAAACAATACTTTCTTGCAGTTATCCCTCATAATATGTTGACCACATGTAATTGGTGATGTTTACTTATGCAATGAAGAAGTGTGTCAGATCCTATAATTGAGGCCTTGCTACTGAATTTGTCCGAATTAAGCTGGTTTTGAGGGAAAGGCTCCTGAACACATTGTGTATCACAGTGGTTAGAGTATATTGCTGCATGGCTACCAAGCAAACTTTCATAATACAATGCGTGACTGGTGTAGATAAATGTAGTAGCCAGAGCAATTAGATCAGGACGATTAGTAAAAATATAAATAAAGATTCTAAATTATTTAACTTAAGTTCACAAAGTAACCTGAGAATTTCTGAGAACTGAATCCTAAACCACTGTGTGCTCCCCAATAAATGATCTAAAATAATTAGGAAAAAAAGAACAAATGAAAACTTGCGAGGTATAAAAAACCCATGACAGATGTGGCTGCTATTGGAGTTGCACATGTCCTGTAATTATTATAGCATCTTTTTTGACTCAGGGGCTTAGTGGGGATCAGAGCAGACACAACAGCTGCATGACAGCTCTTGTCGCAGAAACCACGAAAAGGTGAGAGAGAGAAACACGTCCTCCTACAATCAAGTGTCATTTCTAAATCATCAAGTGACAAGCAGGTCCTGACACTGGCCTTTAGCCCCCTACCTGCCACTGTGGAATATCAGTGAGACACGTCCACAGATACTGGTGAAGTTTCAGCTGATATCAGCATTGACTGGGAACATGGGAACATCTATCTGTCCTTGTGTGTTATCGTTACAGCTCTATTATATTTTCTCTGACTGATATCGTACACTCATTTCTTCATCTGCTTTTGGCAGCACT